TGAAACTTTTCACTTGTGGATGCAGCAGAAGAGTGGTTGCAATGCCTCGGATGTGAGCAGCCAGTTGGGCCCCATGCTGCTGGGCTTGCTAGGGTGGGGGGTCAATAGCACCACTTCAATAAAACCTCTACTGTGATCTGCAAGGGCTGGCAGCTCCAAAGTGCACTTGGTAAATTTGGGGTGCTGTTACCCTAGCTGCAAACCAAGACCAACGGAGTAGCTTGCTCTAGATACCAGCGAGGTGAGGAGGGCACAAGCAGCTAGCAGCCAGGTGTTTGAGTCCCTCCACATGCTGCTTCGGACGGTCTTGGACAAGTCGCTTGGTCTGCTAGCAAGCACTTATAAGACTCCCACTGTTGTGGCTACTGATTGCAGTGGGGGAATTAGCAGGGCCTCTAGGTGCCTGCTGACGTGTTAATAATCACCTCATCCTAATAGAAGCAGGGCTGAACAGCCCTGCCAGCTACCCTGAGCCCTGCGTAGATAACGACTCCTTGTCTGAGCAACTGAACAGCAGGTGACAACTGGGCAGCTCTTGCAAAGTATTTGCATGCAGCAAAGCAAGTGTTGGAGGTGCCTGTTTGTACAACGCTGGCTGACATAAGCAGGCATCAAAGGTTTCATTACAGGCTGGAAAGCAGCTTGGTTGGATCAAGGGCCAACCTGAGTGTGTGAATGGGCTGTGTTCCTACAGAGTTCTCCAAGCTCTCCTGGGACCAGGTTCACTTCTGCGAGGACATTGGCATTAGGAAAACTTTCCCCCTCCATCCTCAGTGCTGCTTTTGTGGTGTTGGTCACGTGCTGCTCTGAGCTGTCTGGCACGCTTGGCTTTCCCTTGCGGAGGGATTGCATCCTGGCACTGCCCAGTCGGCTGAGCTCAGACGTGTGGTTGCAGAAAGCAGGTTGTTGGAGACTGGAGTAGCATTGGGCTGCATTTGTGCAAGTGTATTTTTTTCCCCTTGATGCTGGTGTGTGGTTAGAAAGTCTGGGTAAGAATGAGGGCGAGGGTTGTTTGTGTGGATTGCAAGCCAAGTTGATCAGGATTCAGTATTGTGGTCTGTTTTGAGCTGCTAGTCTATGTTGTGGGCACTTTGGGAAAGGGAGAGGCTCAGTAAACAGGACAGTGGAAAAAGCTATGAATCAGCCTCCTGAAAAGTGATAAGTGCAGTGTTGAGCACAGGCCATAACAGCGCAGCGGCAAGGTCCCAGCTGTGGAGAGGCAGATGGGCTCTTCCCAAGCTCTGATCTTTGCCATACGGTAAAGCACACAGCTGGCTTGTTCTTGTTCAGCAGTGGGTCTGACGGCGGCCTGGACCTCCAGGTGCTGCAGAACGAGGGATTGGGGCTGTGTCAGTCTGGCTGCTGTCAGTGCTTTGTGCATAGAGTCCATCTATGCTCAGCACACTGTAGGTGACAGATAGTCCCACGGCCGCCCTGACGAGCTCTCCTGGAGATGGACAACTTGAAGCCAGCCCTTTCACCCAGCACAGCAGCTGCAGCAGAGGCCTGGTCTTGGTGGCTGGAGCATTAGCTGTGGTGGGAAAGTGCCGTAAGTCCTCAACAAGCCAGAGGATAAGAGCTCCGTTGGGGCTAGGCACGCGCGCTGGCTGGTGCCGCGGCTGCTACAACCTCCCCAGTGGAGCTCGCAGGGGCAGCCCCATCCGATGAGCGACTGGGCTGGCGGCCCCAGGAGAGAGGCTTGGGTGGGCAGTGGCAGAGCAGGCCAGCGGCATGATTGTTCCTAACCCAAGAGCTGCCCTTAGGGGTGCTTCAAAGGTGATGCCCCATGTCTGGCTGGCTGCATCTCGGGGAAGCTGTCCCTGCCTGGCAACTTTCCTCTAGCCAGGGGGCTTGGTGACAGGCCTTGACCCCCAAACTTGCCCCATCTGTGCCGTCAGGATTGTGCTTGGCTAGTTTGCACTGGCAAGGGGTGAAGGTGAGCTGGTGTCGCCATCCCCGGGCTTGTGTTCTGCTCTGTCCTGGCTGCGTGGGTGCGCAGTACTTGTGCAGAGCCTGGTGTAGACGGGACCAGGCGGGCAGCGCCGCAATCATTAAGGCAGGAAGGCCCCGGGAGGTTGGGAGAAGCCCCTCTGGGCCTCTGCACCTGAAGTCCAACTTGGCTCTAGACCCAGGCATGGTCGCCCACCCAGTCCACTCCCTCTGCCACGGCCTGGGGCCACTTCCCCTCCCCTGGCAGTTACTCAGCTGGGCCTGGGGTCTTTCTCCCTGGCACCCGCAGCATGGGAATACTGGAGCAGCAGGACCTGGCCTGTCTCAGCCCCTTGCTGTGGAGGTGGCTGGCATCGATGGGCTCTTGGCTTGAAGGGCATTGTAGGATGGTGGGGTGGAGGTTCGGGCTGTGTGCTGAGATAGTGGTGACCACCACACTCACCTTGCTCAGGCTAAACGTGCCCCGAGCCAGTCCCCTTTTGGCCCTTGGTCCCTGCCCCAGCCAGCAGCACCTGAGCCCTGGGGGTGGTTTGGCAACGTCCCCCCTAGGGATGGGCGAGCTGCTGGTGCCTGTGGTGTGGGCCAGGCAGGCTCGTTTGTTGGCACATCAGTCTCCCATTTGGTCTGTGCTCATGCTAGGATGATATGGGCTCCAGGCTATGGCTGCGGGGGTATCACCAATCGTTGTGGGAGCAGTGCAGGCCCTGGGGTGGGGGGGAAGATCCCTGCCAGTGGCTTGGGGCCCCTGCCCAACAGGTACTGCCATCTCTGGGCAGAAGCTGGAGTTTGGCAGGGCCCCAGCTGGCTTGGCCTGCACAGGAGGGAGAAGCTGCTACATGAGCCAGAGTTGGCCCTGAGGCCACAGGCAGCCAGTGCCCTCCTCCATGTCGCGGGTCTGCTTCCCCACGTGGAGTTGGAGCTGGGACCTGGCCTCTGCTCTGCTCACTCCTCTTGTGCCTGCAGCCATGCGGCATGGGCGGTATTGGCCTCTGCCTCTCCCGGGAGCTGCCAGCACCCTCCTCCAGCCCTAAGACTGCTGTAGCCCTGCCAGAGCTGCAGCCATCTGGTCAGGCCCGTGGCTCCATCCTCGTGTCTCGTGCTTGCAGTGCCTGCACCATCAGCTGCTCGGGCTGGCACTGTGACTGGATCTGATGAGGTGAGAGGTTCCCCAGACTGCTGTGTACCCGAAACCAGGGGCCAACGGTCTGGCTGTCGAGTGGTTTTCCAGCCAGGAAGTGGCCAGACGTAGCCAAGCTGGCGGGGGGTGTCTGTGCTGGGACTTCTGGCTGTGCAGGTGCCAGGAGACCACAGGGATAGAAGGGGAGGCAGGAGTGGGTATGAAAACCTGCGTGCCCGTGACCTGCAGCGTCCCACCAGGGTCAGGCCTAGAAGGAGCCCAGAGGGAGCCCTGCCAGGCTGCAGGGGCTGAGTCATGCAGCTGCCACTTGGCTGTGTTAATGCTCAATATAGCTCTTCCCCTCTTCCCCCCCTGCTACAAGGCCTCTGCCAGTCTTGCAGCCACCAGCTCACCACAAGCAGGAAGCTGTGGCTCGGTGAGGCCAGGGGGGAGCCTGAGCGTACGTCCAGATGAGAAGCATGTGGGTGCCAGCTGCTGAACATGAGAGGGGACTTGGCCCTCTGCCTGTGCCCTCAAAAGTAGTGGCTTTCTGCAGCTCCCCCGTGCATTGGGCCCAGCCGCAGGGAAGAGCAGCTCCTCTGCTGCAGCGCTGTTGCCCTGGCTAGGGCAGGGGGATCTCGCTGTTGCTGCAGGTTGTGCATAGCTGATGCAGCAGGTCCTCAAGCTGTTTTAGGCTGGAACCACAGATCTTATTGTGAGCCTGCTGCTGTGTGTGTGGCTGTTTCCTCAGCACCAGGGTTTCTGCAATGCCTGTGTCTGCATTGGACTTGCCCCAGATGCAAGGGGCAATCCAACAGGGATGGGAAGCCTCTTGGCACTGCGTACTAAAAATAACCCCCCAGGTGAGGAACCTCCCAGCTGCCTTGTGTCGCCTCGCACTGGAGCCACAGCTCCAGCTCTGCTTTGCTCCCCCCTTCTCTGGAGACCATCAGCAGAGTCTCAGCTGTGACAACCAGGCTTGGAAAGCAAGCAGGTGGATGAGGAGTTGGGGTGCAGAAAGGTGTAGGAATTTGGGTCTGTTTTGAGACTGACTTGGGCCAGCTGGGCTGGGCAGAGGTGTGCACTTCAGCACCTGGTCTTGGCCTTGTTTGCTGATTGACAGCAGCCTGGGGTGACCTTGGCTCACCTGTTGCTCTACAGGGGTAGAAAGGAGGGGAAAGAGAGAGCATCGTCATGCAGATGCTCTTCTGGAGTCCGAGGCCCAGGGTGCTGCTTGGTACCGGATGGAGCAGGCTCTGCAGGGGCCAGGCCCATGCATGTAGCAGCGAGGGTGCCCTCACTTTGCAGCACTGGCGCGAGGGCCTCTGGTGCTTGCCGCAGGTCAGGAGCTCAACAGTGGAAAGCATACAGGAACCAGCAAGGCTGAAGTGTGACCCCATCTTCTTCACAACCCTCATGCTCATGATTGCCCCTGCGTGGTTTTTTTGCCCATTGTACATAGAGGGCAATGAGCATGGGGTCCTGCTACTCGATTCCAGCCTGAGCTGGTGTCTTCTCCAGTGCAGCGAAGCTGTGGCAGGATCCCTTCCCCCCTACAAGAAGCTGCGAGCAGGACCTTGCACCTCGCTGGGACTGTTCTTCATTAAGGACAAGAACGATTTACACACTAACCCATGTTGCTAATGGTAAATAACCACATAACCATTTAGACAGTCACAGAGCTCTGAAGTCCACAGGCAACCCGGTGGGCAGGCCCAGGACTTATCGCACGTAGAAGCTGGCTTCACTGCTGTGACATTCATGTCACTGTGATGCTTTCTCTGACTCCCACAGCCACCCAGGCGTGGCCAGCGCCCCAAGGCAGAGACGGGGCAGGGGCATGAGGACAAATGCCTCTACTGAAATGGGTCAGGCACCTGACCTGGCGGCAACACTGTGTGGGAGAGGTACAAGAGAAATGACTCCCAGCAGCTCCATCAGGGTAGCAGTTCTTTATTGGATATTTGCAAGATAAGAAAAAAAAGTTATTTGTACAGCTTGGTGAGACAACAGTTGCCAAAGAGCAAGGCTACTCCTTGTGCAATTAACTGGCCAGAGGCAGCTGCCATGGCATAGCAGGCTCCTGAGCCACAGCACAAGATGGGGACAGCTTGCTTGGAGCATGACTCCAGGCTTCATGCAGCACTGTCTGTGCTGGGTGGCTCTATGCAGCCCAAGGGGCTCCCTAGATGTTAGCGAGCAAGTAGCCTTGCTCTCAGGCCTTTTGCAAATGGTAGGCTGCCAAATGAAATTAAAAGGCCTGCCACACAGTGAGTGGTGCCTTGCCTGTGCCCACTTGCCCCTCCTTTCCCTAACTCAGAGCTCCTCCACAGCTAGCTGGGGCATGCTGCCCATTGGGAATGCACAGCCATCTTCACTGTGGCTCCAGGGCCAAAGTGGCTCTGCTTGACAAGAGAAATGAGCTGAACATGGGCTGCAGTTGAACTCAGCATCTGAGACGTGCCACTGTCCTTGGGTCATCTGCAATGCCCATGGTGCAAAATAACTGTGGAGCAGCTGCTGCTGCAGCTAGGGGCCCCTTCTGAATGTCTAACTGAACCCAAGGACCTGGCTGTGGGAAACTGCCTCTCAGCTAGCCCTAGAGCAGTCATCTATCCTTGCTCTCAGCGCTGTTCTTGGGAGGGGAACACTAACTGTGGGCATTCTGCTTGCCCTGGGGGCTTCCCAAGCAGTTGGGTCTTAACCCTCCTGCATGGCTGGTGGGCTAGAACGGGCAGGGAATGCTTTTACCTAAACATCCACCTAGTGAAAAGGCTGAGTGCCTGTGGGAGGGTGCGGTGGCATCAAAGCAGCCTGGATTCTAGTTGGACCTCTACAGTGCCTCCATGCAGTCTCAGGCATGCCACAGGCACAGAAGAGTGGTTTTCAGTTAGCCTCACCATGCAGGCCTGGGTCAAACATAAGGGCAGCTGCACCCCTCTGAGAACACCGACCCCCCCAACAAGGTTGTTGTGAAATCACCAAATGGCTCCAAAGTAAAACAAAATGCTCTTACTTCAGTGAAAGGTCCAGCAGGCAAGGCTGGGGCAGTCGCATTGGGACACAGCTGCCCTTGCTATGCTAACCCCAGCAGGGACCTGGCCCAGGAACACGCTTTTGGCTTGCTAATGGGGATGCTCATCTCCATGCCCTACTTACATCCATACCAAGATGACTCTGGAGCTTGCATGGTGGTATTTTAAGGTACTGAAACATTACTCAGCCATTTGGTAAATGCTCCTGCATATACAAGCAAAGAGAACAATACAAATACAGCAGATAAACAGGTTGAACATGTTAGATCATCCCAACAGAAATGAATGCCTCCCTCGCACACGTACAGATATCTCTGGGGTACGTTCAGCAAGACTGTCTACATCTGACAACAGAGAAGGGTAACAAGAAAAGAACCCGAGAATGGGAAGTTAGAAAACATTATGGCTGCCACTTTTCAGCACTGCAAGAGAACAAAAAACAAAGACAAGCATCATTTCATCTCCCAAACTTGCATCCAAAGGTGCATCTTAGCTTTCCAAGGAGCAGGAGGCCGCCCACATTCTCTCCCCTTTTTCAAGCTCCATTAACAATGCAATGCACCATATCTCTGAAGGAGTTCTGCCAACCGTAGTGCAAGCAAACCACAAAAACAAATAGCATTAGAACGTTCCCTCTTGTCAAAGTGAATTAATTGCTATAGAAACTCATTTGCTGTTTGCTAAAGGTAAGATTGGTTTTAACTGAGAAATCAAATTTAACATCGTTTAATGTATGAAAGTTTGAAAAGGTGTTTCACAGCATAATTGTAGCAATAACTTACACTGCATTGCCAATTCACAATTCAGTTATTTTCGTTAACAGTGTACAAAGAAGGTCCTTAGTTATATATATTTATATATATACACATATATTTTATAAAGTCTGGAAGATCAATATAAATACTGCTCCAGAAATTAAAAAAAGTGTTTACATCCCCAACTCCAATATTACAGCTTAGCGTCCTGTTCTAGGATTAGAATCTGTAAAAATGTTAACGGCGCAGAGGTTCAAGTTTTCGAAACTTCAGTGATGAGCTGGATGATAAAGCATCTTGATTTGAAGAAGAATTCGCTGTGTCTGGGGACTGGAACAACACTCTACCACGATGATTAAATACATAAAAGGACGGATGGTTCCTTAATGTGTCAAATGTCCTTTAAAAATAAATTTGAAATATTAAATTAACATTTGCTTTAGAATGGTCATTTTATAACAATTGCCTGAAAGTCCCTGGGGTTTTCTTACACCGCAGTGCTTATATATTTTTCTCCCTTATTTCTTACTTATTACGCAGTTTTCCTATGGCAGCAGCTGAGAAGCTAGAGGGACAAGATTAACACCACTTGACACAGGAACAAGCTACATAGCTACAGCTTCTGTCTTTACTGTTTGCTCTGTACAAGTCTGCCAACTACCATGTTCAGTTACCAAATTCCTCTACTTTGGACCATACCTTAGCTAAAATCTCTACTCATGCCTTTGTACTGATTGTCTTCTATGTGCACAGATTTCTTACTGCATCGCAACATGGGACTCCTGGGTAGTGCTGCGGTGCATGGTTTCACCCAAGTCTGGTGTTACCCAGACAGCTGTAGCTCCAGAACGCAGGCCTCCTCCAGCTTGCCCTCTACCTCAAACTCCCTCAAGTGCTGAGACAGTGGGAAAAGAATGTTCTCTAAGATCTGCCTATTCCCTTCACTGCTCCATCTACCTGACACAGAGGGTTGGGGGAAAGAAGAGAAAGCATGTCCCAGTCATTTGTCTTGCCTTGCCATATCTGGCATGGCAGACACTGTAATGGTGGGGGACAGGCAGCTACTGGTACCGCTACAGTAAACCTCTACAGAGGTGTTGGGCAGAGGAAAACCAGCCTGACGTGGCTGCCTCAGGGAGTGTGCTGTGAAATGTGCAGGCACCAAGCATGTGAACCAACTTACTTATTTTTTAGCTCTGAAGTGGCATCCATGTCTCTAAATTCTCCTGCAATATGTACTATTCCATAGCAGGTCACTGCGAAGGCCAGCAGTGTCTGAAGAACTATCTGCAACACAAAAGCCATCCCATGCATGAGACACTACAGCCTGCACACCCTTGCTCTTCATTCGTGCAAAGTACTATTTAGAGGTAAGCAACCAACCTCATCCCCACTGCAGAGAGAGCAGGAACTGAGGCACAGAGACATTTAAATAACTCTCCCAGGGCAGCACTGCTATGTGTTGGCAGAGCTTGGTCTGTACCCTACACGCTAGTTTGATCCATGTGGTGGGGTTCTTGGGGAAGATGCTGTATTCCTCTGAGCACTGTTCTGTGCGCTTGCAAATGCAAGTTAGTGGCTGCATGCTTTCTCCAGGGATGGCAATGGGACACTACTACTTTCTCTCCTCCCTCCTGCTTTCTTGACTTCATTTTTTTTCATGTCACCAATATTAAGAAATAAGAAAACTAATGCCCTGAAGCGGGCTGTGCCAGGGCGAGGCCAGCCCAGAAGAGTATTGATCAAGGTGATGTCAGCTGGCCAAGCCAGAGGGAGGCAGGCATTTGTGCTGCAGAGAGCAGGACTGAACAGGAGGACATTCCACAGCTTTAACTCTAAGGCCTGGAATTACTGGATGAGGTGCTCCAGCCACTGTGGTAGCAAAGGGGAGGAAAGTCCAGCTTGGGAATCTGTCTCTGTCTGACTGGCACCCTTTGCAAGCACTGTAACACCTTCCTGGAAGCTGAGGCTGGTAGTGAGATGTCTGTCTGCAGATAAGAATCCAGAGGAATGTGCAGTTAAAATCCCATTAAAAAGACAGAAACACAGGAGAGAAAGCTAGGACCAAACTGTGTGGTTACTCTTAACCCTTTCACCCTGCTGAAACCATCCAACTTACATCTATTGGCAACGTTTCATCTTCCTTTTCTGTTAACCTCATGTAGGAGCGATCTACAAAACAGAGGCATTGGTACGTTAGTAATGTTTAAGGGACATTCTTCACGGCAGAACTATCTGTAGCAGCCAATTCAAGTAAGCTCCAGGACTCCTTGTTATGCCCTAGAATAAAGAGTTCATGCATGTCTGCTGTACCTAGCTTTGTTCCCACATCCTCTGCTTCAGATAGCATCTTTGACCTGCCTCGACAAACAATTTCACTTTTTCCTTCCTGCAAGAGTGCTGGTAAACCGAAGTGCCTGGTTTTGTACTGTGCACTTGCAGCCCACGGGCTCCCCACCAGTGCAGGCCACAGCCCCCGGGGGGGGGGGGGGGGGG